AGCTCGAGACGCCGACGTGCGCGGCGACCGAGCTGCTCATTGGCACCGTGCGCGTGCGTGTGACCCAGCCCGTCGCATGCAGCGGTACTAGACAGCATCGTCGCGCGTGGCTAAAGGCGTCTTGTAGAGATTGTCGTCATCGTTGCAGGCAACGAGCGCGTTGCGTGGACCGAGGCATGGACCGAGAAGGAAGCGGAGGGGCACACCGAGACGATCTTTGACGGCCGCGAGTTCTTTCGACAAAAGGTGCGACGTGTGGCGTGCTTGCGCCTTTCGATGGACCGCCTCGTAGATTGTGCTCTGCAGTGTCGAGAGCGAGCTCACGCCGGGCCACTACGCCTACCCGTTCCAGTACCGAATGCCCGCCGGCCTTCCGGGCAGCTACGACAATGAGAACGACCAAGACGTCCAGGCCATCATCGAGTATGGCATCGAAGGCGCGCTGTGTGTCCGAGGCGTCCTCGCACAAGACGCTTCCGACCGGCACGCGTTCACCCTGTATGCAGTCCCGTCACTGAGCGAGTCGCCGAGCGTGGCCGAGAAGGTGCAGATGCTGCGCTCCTTTTGCTGCCTGCGCCACGGTCAGTGCACGCTGCGCGTCGCGCTCGACAAGTGCGCGTACGGCCTCGGCCAAGTGCCCATTGTACGTGCTACTGCCGTCGTCCATGCTTTGTCCAACGCACTCGATAGGTCCAATGCGACGTCAAGAACTCGTCGACCAAAGACATGCGCGCCATGCGGTTCGAGCTGGTCCGCGTCGTCGAGGTGTTCGCACGCGGCCGCATTCGGTCGCTGCAAACTGTACTCTGCGACCAACTCTTCTCGGGCGTCCCCGCGGGCCGCGTGCTCTCCCAGCCGCAGCCCTTTTGCCTGAACGGTCGCGGTCTCTACCCTAGCACGAGCGGCAACTTTGTGTCGTGCAGCTACTACATAGAAGTGGACTTTGACATTCCGACGTGCCCGATTGTCGAACTTCGCTTGCCACTGACGATTGGTGCGCCGGTTCTTGACGACGCCTTCTCGTCGCTACCGCCTGTATAAGTGTCAACGAATGGTCTTGTATTTATGCAGTCTGGGCGCTCTTGTTGTGACGCGTCACTGAGCAGGAAACGACGGCGCACTGCACGCTGGCTTGGCTCAAGGGTTATACCCTTGCTTGGCTAAGCATCGTGGGCTCTTGAGCAAAACGCGTGTACGCTGCCACGTCACCGCGTCCAAAAGGCGTCAAATGGGTTCAATCGCACTGAATTTTAGAACTGTGCGGATTGTACATATGTGAGAAACGTTAGTGCGCGTGGTTTATGTGGCAATTGCGCATCCTCTATACAAGCATTTATAGCTATAGAGAGGCCTACGTGTGGGATTTGCAAGTGTGTTTTGTGTGGGAATCAGCGCCATCATTTTCCGGTTATCCGGATGACACTGCACTTTCGAAAAGATGGCAGCCTTCGTCCGCGAGCTCCTCGGCCTGCGCGGGAAGGGATCGATTGCGATCATTGTCGACAAGCCCCATTACATCTCGGGCGAAGTCGTCTCTGGCTCGCTCCAAGTCGACGTGCTCGAGCCCATTGAATGCAACGGTGTGTCTGAAGGATGCTCGGCGACACCCTCATGCGCACATGTAGAGGTCGTTGTCGTCATTTCGGGCAAGGAGAAGGTCCACTGGTCCGAGACGCACGACGTCGGGTCGGGCGACGACCGTCGGTCTGTCACGCGCACGTTCTCGAGCAGCCACCGCTTCTTGAACCAGGCAGTACGTCTCGCGCTACGAACGAGTAGTGTACTCGTCTAGGATGGACGACACAACCATGATCTAGATCGTGCTCTACAGTGCGCAACACCACATTTCGCCCGGCCAATACATCTACCCGTTCCAGTACCAACTGCCCATCGGACTGCCCGGCACGTACGACAACCAATGCCACGACGGCGTCGACGCGCGCGTCCAATACAGCATCAAAGGTCGGCTCCGCGTCGACGGCTTCTTTAGCCGGGACGTAAAACGACGCCAAACATTTATCGTGTACGCGCAGCTCGCGGGCTACGTCGCGCCCAGCGTCGCCGAGAAGACGCAGGTCGTCCGGCTCCTCTGTTGCTTCCGCCAAGGCACGTGCTACCTTCGCGTCGGCATGGACAAGAACATGTATACGCCTGGCGACGTGCCCATGGTAGGTGCATGCTCATGTAGGATGCATCGAGTCATAAGGCGGCGTGTGCAGATTTTGTGCGACATCCGCAACGAGTCGGCCAAGGACGTGCGCCGCATGCGCTGCGAGCTGGTCCGCATCGTCGACGTCATGGCCGACGGAAAGCACCGTACGCTGCAAAAGACCATATGCGGCGCGACGTTTCCGGGCGTC